TCTCATCATCCGAGGATATTCTCTGATTTAGCTTGACTTTTCCTCAATGCCTAACGCTTTTAAGCGTTCATCTCTGCTCATTCGTCCACGCTGGTTCGTTTCTCTACCAAGCACTCCCCTCTCTCTCTTTTTTTTTTCAGATTCCGGCACTACAGGTGTCCTCTGGTCGGAGGAGGTGACCCTGCATGTGTGTGGATGCGTGGATGCGTGTGCGTGTGGTGCGGGCACACGGTCTTCAGCATTCTGATCATCATCTGCTGGATCAGAGCCAACCTCGGGTCTGGCTGCTCTGTGCTGCGACACCGATTGGAAGCCCATCCTTGTTATCGAGATCCGTTGCGCGTTTCATGGTCCAGTAAAATACCGTTGAGCTGTTGATGCGCGAGGAAAACAGCTAGTCCGACGCCCCCCCACCGTTCTCTTGGCGCCTATGGCGCCTGGTGTCGACCTTTCGTGTGAATTGTCGCATCAAGCAAGCGGCTGGTCGCTTCGCTCGTGGGCTGGCCTGCAGGATGGGCCCAGGGCTCAGGTCCCCGCCCGGGGCAACCGCCCTCTCCTTCCTGCTGATCCTCTTGTTAGCATTCGCACCAACTCAACACCTCGTGGCTGCAGGTTCGTTCGTGCATCACCTCAGCTCGCTGGCCCGCCTGCATACATTGGATCACGCCGTGCCACCGTAAACTTGCCCACGCTTTGCAAGTCACCACGCCCACACATGTGCTCTTCTCCTTGTCCTTGGGTCATTGAGAGTCGATCGACCCTGCCCGCTCCTTCTCGAAACACACTCCTAAATGCGTGGTTTCGCTCTTGTAACCTTCCCAAATGATCGCCTGTGCTCTTCCAACACCAATCATGGTTTCAGACCACACATCTCCGCACCTCCACCATCCTGTTACCGGTCACATCATCAGCCCACCTCCTTGTGCCTGCTCCACCCGCTCCATCGGGCACCGATCTGTGTGCTGTCCGGCGTCAGTATATGCCCGCTCACGTATACTTTTGCGCCCATGGCATGGGTGCGCACGTCCCTTCATTCTAGACTGTGCGTGTAGCTCGGGAGAGTACATGTCCGCGTGCGCCAACGACACGCCAACCTGCATTTCCTGCTCGGTTTGCTCAAGTGAACAAATTGCAGCCAAACCTTGTCTAGCCACGCAGGATCGCCAGTGTGTCGAATCACCAGGTGGCTTTTATCTAAAATATGGCTCCAGCCTGCGGTTTGCCATCGCGCCCCGATACAGTCTATCCCTGGCTTCGGTGCAGGAATGTGCCACCTTTTGCCTCAATCTTGGAAGCAACTGTGATGGCTTTGAAACCGAGTACATCCAGGCCAGCGATTCCTTCAGCTGCCGCCTCTACGACAGTGCAGCCACCAGCAGTGCCGTACAGTCTAGTGCCTACGCGCTCTCCTTCCTTGTTGGTGAAGTAAGTGATACTTATTCAAAAAGGCGCTGTGGATGACCCTTGAAGCAGCGCGAGACGCAGCGTGCTGGCCTGGCCCACTCCCGTCGCCCAACATTCATAGATTGCGATCACCCTTTGCTGACTCTTTGCTAGGCACCTTTCAATCCGTCCTCAACCGAGGCACCAACCACACTTGCGCCATTTGCAACGCCTGATGGCTATGCACTTGCTTATCGTGGCGGTACTCTTCAAGGTCTTGAGGGCCAGCGATTTGTCACCGCCACCGATCCAGCGCATATCATCTTCTCAGAGGTTGCAGCCAATCCGGATAACTGCGTTGACGTTTGCAATGGACGCTTCGACTGTCTCGGCATTTACGTGGTGCAAAACACTTCGGACGAGATTGAATGCACTCTCCTCAATCAAACCTCCTCCGAGGTCTCCACCGAAGATTTGCTCAATAGCTACTCTTGGGAAAAGGTACGTCACTCTCAAACCCAGAGCATGCCACACACACAAAAAGTCAAAACAAATGACCGTTATTTTGTACTTTCATGTGTGTGTCGTTTTCATTTTTCTTCATTTTCTTTTCATTTTTTTTTTCTTTTGCTTTGCTTGACTTGTTGGCTTGGCGTTCTCGTTCTCGAGATGAGGGGCGGTCTGTTTGATGTTCCGCTCCTAGCGTGATTGCTCTTTGTTTCTGCTTTGTCTTTTCAGTGGCGTCCCCCCCCCCCCCCCCNCAACACACACACACACACACACACACACACACACACACACACACACACACACACACACACACACTACGCTTTGCTCAGTACCGCTTTCAGTCAATTTGGACCAGTCATCAGCTTGATGCTTCCTTCAGTTGTGCGCATACCCCGTCCTCAATGGGCCATGCCATCCTATGTCTGTAGCTTGTGGTTTCAAGCACCGCGGCCGGAACGACACTTGACCCCGATGTCTATCACATCCCCTACCCCGCCGACTACATCCTGCTTTTTTCCAGTGGAGACTTTGCCGAGCAGCTGAACAGCCCCAGTCGCCGCTTTTCCTTTGATACGAGTGACGTCTTGTCCACTTGGACAGGGGATCGAGACTGCGCCTCCATCTGCAACACCGTGGTTGAGTGTGTGGGATTCATCATCACTTTTGATCCCCCCACCAACGTCTCGGCGGATACGCAAGTTTGCCGCTTGCTTGATAACCTTGGTGGGGACGGGGGTGCAGCTGAAACTGCGTCTTCTCTCTCCTATGCCTACGAGAATGTACGTCAGCCCTATTGACATGGACACACCTCCCAGACCAACTCTGAGGTGGCTCTCATCTTTGTTCTCACACATGCCGTGCCCTCTCGCATGTAGGCTCCTAACATTCCTTCGCAAACGTCGACGACCACTACAACGACAACCACCACGACCACCACCACGACCACCACCACTACGACGACAACCACCACAACGACAACCACGACCACCACGACCACTACGACGACCACCACCACAGCTTCCGTGGCGACGACAACAGCCGAGGACACACGTCTCACGCAGCCATTGCTTTTGACTGGCTCAGTGGACGTGTACCCGGATCGTCACACGACTGCCAGGAGCCAGGCTACCTACCGAGCCGGCCAGTCAGGCACGGTTACGGCCGCAACCATTGAAGGCCAGCTCTCGGTATCCCGTACGCTCACGGTGTCAGCCACTGTACCAGACGTCATCGTGTTGGGGTTGTACCAAAATGCCACGTACAACGATGCGCGAAGATTGGTGGGTGAAATCTTCCTGTTTGATGCCTATGGCAACCCATCTACGTCCGGCAGCAGCATCGTCACGGTGCGCGCTACAACTATCGATGGTAGCTATTCCGCCACCTCTCAAACTCGCATTCAGACGCCAAACGGACGCTACCAGTTCAATCTTCTCTTCAACGAAGCCATGTATTCTCAAGCGCGAATGGGTACCGTGGTCGCTTTTATTGGAACCAACCGAGCCACTAGCTCCGTGATATCAGAAGAAAGTACCTTTAGTGTCATCCCAAGCCCGACACTAACAAACGCCGAAGCATACATTCGCCTGCCCTACGAGGATGTGTACTCCACCGACCTCAATGCCGCGCTCGTTTTTGGTGTCCCCAGCACTGCTGCAAATCAGGCAGCTAGCTCAATCATTTGGCAGTTTTCTACAAACGCTGCCGTGACATTTTCTGCATCATCTCTGCCAGCAGGCTGCACCATCTCCACTGACTTGACAAACTCGCTATCTCGCAACGTTTCCTGCCCAGCAGCTACGGCGCTGGCCGGCACGGCTGCCTTGACCTTCACTATAGCCTCCAGTCAAGCCACAACCAGCCCCACAGTGGTCGTGTCCAGCGTGGCTGCTTGGCGCCGTCTGGCAGACGGCAGCTCAGTATCTCTCAATGCAGTAGTGCGAGATCGAAATGGTGATGGCACCCAGGGTTACATCTACACCCCTGCA